TCCTTCTCCTCCTATACCCCTCCTAGCAGTTCCTCCTTTTAGCATCCTCCTACGCGACTCTCGATATCTACATCACTAATATTACTACCAAATAGTGATAGTAATAGTGAATACGCTCGTTGAGCTGCAAACTCCTCATCCTTCTCAGCCTGCTTCAACTCTACTGGTGTTTGTATAGATGCACAGAATTCGCTAGCTCTACTCATTCTACCAACATCACCTACATCATCATCACTAATATGTCGCTAGTATACCAATTAATATTACCATTATTATCCCTACTAACCCTATCCCTATCTGTATCAACCTCCTCCTGCTTTTCTAGAGCATCATTATCATCATCACCATCATCAGCTCCCATATTCTCATCCTTTACCTATCCTCTCAATATTGATGAGTACTAGTAGTGTTGTCGTATTACTACTACATCATTAGTATCCATATGGTCATGTACATAGGATGCACCAGTATCCAAGTCGATAACATTATTACCAGCAATACCACCACCATCATCATCCTGATCCCTACTACCACTACTACTCTCTATTGGTTCCTCCTTCACTAGTGAGCGTGCTTTAACCTATTGAGCAGATATACTCCAATAACAAGCCTATACAGCCATCCAGTAGGATAGAACAGACACTCTTACTAGATTACTAACATCCTACTACTACTACTACTACTCATACTGCTCTTGTTGTTGTTGTTGTTGCTACTCACCTTTTGCTCCACCATCCTCTGCCTCTCTAACTGTCGATATAACTCTTGATCCTCCTCACCATCCTGTAGATCATCATCATTATTATCCATAGTTCTCTTAGGAGGAGGTATCCTATAAGATGAACATAATAGTGTTTGAGGAGTGATAAGTCGGCAAGTACACTATATCATCATCACCATCACCACTGGCACTGACACTGGCACTGGCCTCCTCTTTATTATTATTACGACGACGACGTAGTCTAGCACCCTTCCTAGCCTAATACACAGGATTATAGTGATAGTTACTGTATGAGTAATACCTCCTTATTCCTCCTCTTCAAGAATTTAGCAGCCTCATTAGTGTTCATAATATCAGATTGTATACGTATAATATTACCACCAGCAACTAGTTGATAATACAATACCACTACAAAGGAGTACTATTGTATGATATTTATTACCAGATTGCATCATAGATCGTCTCTTGTTCTCCTCCATTATTTCCTTTAATCTACCCTCTACATCCTGTGTTAACTCTGCTGTAATGTTCTGTTCTAGCCCATCATTACTAAGAGCTAGAGTAAACCCTCTACGTCTAGCATCTACTGCTGCCCTCTCCTCTACTGTTGTATACCTATCATAGTACCAAAAGCAGCAACAGCAGCAGCAGAGGTATGATTATAGTAGTAGTAGTTATTACTTATCTAATATATTATCACCAGATAGATCATCATTACCCTCCTCCTCTTCATCCCAGTGTAGTGTAGGATCCCATGCATCTAGTATTACTATTATTATAGAGTATATGAATACTATCATTACTCCTATGTTTTTCCTTCCTCCATAAATCATCCTTTTCCCTCTGTGCTAACCCTTGTGGCCCCCCTGCCTCCTCTAATACCTATTACCACATGTAAATAGGTATATACTCCCTTAGTGTACTACAACTTCATCATAATCATCATCATCCTCTTCTTCTTCATCGGTACCACATGCCAATATAGGCTTATCCCTCATGGTTAATATAGTCTCACCTATCAAGTATGTACTTATATTAATACTAGTATTTTCTACTACTACTACCTTCCCTTAGATCCTCAATATTATGTGCCACTTTTAGACGTACTTCACCACCTCTTCCTTCTTCTTCTTCTTGTTGTTTACTTTTCTCCTCCTCAATACCACGCTGTCTCTTGTTCCTTACACTCATCCCTTCTCCTCTAACTGCCTGGTATGATGATGATGATGATGCACCAGCAGCAGCAGTAGTAGACGAGACCTTATGTCTATCTAATAATAATTTATCATCTTGGTAGGAGGATATACATCATCATAATCAACTATTATTATTACTTCGTTCCACCCAATCTGCCGCTGACTCCTCTTCCTCCTCTTTCTCCTTGTCACCTAATGTATTACCAGTGATTAGCTCTTCATGCATCTATATTGATAATAATGAAAAGGGGCAATGTAGAGAATGATAATACCCTTTTATCACGCCTTTTCCTTATAGCATCCTTAGCATTGTATACTTCTCCCTCTTCTTCTTCTACTAATAATCTAGGATTATCCGAACTCCCTTCAGGTGCCTATCATCATTATGATACTACTATATGACCGTCATGATGATGATGATGTTATGGTTCGTATTACATCATCCTGGCTGGTAAGAGTGAGCTTCTTTAAGCCTAAGCTCTCCCTTAGTTTATTACTCTCCTCCACAGTCATACTAACCTCCTTAGTAACGCC